GCTTAGAATATCCTTGCCAGGCTTCAGGTAATTTTGAAAGGAATTTGACGAATGAATATTCCTCAATGAAAATATTCGACAAGGTATCATTTCGTTGAAAGGAGGGAAAAGAATCGGTTTATCGCTGGAAGACACAAGCGAATGTTCAAGCTTTTCAAGTAGTCTACTGTATATCATCCGTCTATGAGTGACTTAGTAAAGCATTTATGAAAATTTCCATGCGCGTGATGTGAAAATAGAAAACCAGATGCGAAAGGTGAATGGTTGGCCGTGAGTGGTGCGTCTGACTAGCCGTTGAGCGATGAATTCTTCAGTCAACATAGTTACCCAAGACGAGTAATCCGGGCTCCGGATCCCATCGGATCTTGTCGGAAAGCCTACTAAATCCGACACATTCCTTCAGGAATCCGATAACTTCCGAGAACATCCGACAAAATCCGTGTCGGAAATCGTCGGAATCTTTGGTACAGGAATCCAATAGGTTTTTACAGGCTTTTCTGATTACAATTATTTGTGTTTTACTCACTTTTTTTAGCATTTATTTTCAATTTGTTTGCATAAAAAACAACAAAAAACTATTTTACAATGACGAAATATAGATGCATGAAAGACAATTGAAACATGGACGATTCTTTTCTAAACAGAAAACAAATAAGAGTTAAAAACTTCTTACCTGGGTAACTAGAATCTCCAAAGAAGTACATATTCGATAAATGAAGAGTTACTTATCAGCACTATCTCGTCTTGCTCAGTATTAGTACAAGTAAAAAGCACCTACCATGAAAAAAGTTTGAATTTTTGCAGTATCTGCTAGTTATCGTTGACCAGTCGAAAAAACAAAATTTTTAATTCTGATATTCGATTCTAAAATGGAAAATAGAAAAAAAAAATATCACTACAAAAAATTTTCGATTCAAATTGGAATAACACGAAAGTAAAAATGAACGTATACTGTCAAAGAAATGAACCTTGTTCATGTAAATCGTTGTATAACCTACTGACCATTACATGTAGTGTAAATAGAGGTCACTAAAATCTACATATAATCTCTTCAGATGTTGAACATCTACGGTTTGCAAATATACTGATAAATTTCAGTTATAGAAGGCCTTTCATCGCCGAATCATCGCTGAAAATCTATCAGCAATAATAACTGGCTAGACTAACTCACATAATACTTGATGGTGCAATACATTGTTGAGTCCGACACATTCCGACAGTCGGATTATGTCGGATCCAACAGGTTTCAGGTGTCGGAAATATATGGATCCTGTTGTCGAAATCCTATCGGATCTGACTGTCGGATGTTGACGTATTGTTTAGGGATCTGACAGGATCCGGTAGGGTGGTTTCGACCTGGGCAGTTCTGTGAATATGACAGTTCAAAATGATCCGGGAAATAATGTTCGACTCGCTCGGCGCGTCAGTTCTTTCCAACAGATTTGTTTTGTTCAACAAATAATAGAAATAACATTTAATAACAGTCAACGAAATAACAATTTCACGTTGAACTTGAGAGAATGAGACTCAACGATAATTTTTTATTTCTGCAAAGATTTACGAAGTAGATAAAAGATTTTGTATAATGAAATTATCGAACATAAATCTCATTTCAGGAACATCTCAATGAAAAAGCATTTGCGATCATTTTTTTGATTGAAAATCATTAATAACTTCGTTCAACCTTCCTTTTATACAAAAAAACAACGTCCCTTCTATTCTCATTTCATTCTGTGAGATTCTTCGAAGAAGATCTCATCAAATATCATGGAATTGATTAATTTGTGTGTGAGGGTGGGTGTGTAGTTGAACTGTAAAACCCGGAACAAAGCATAGATCCAGAAACTTAGAAGTATTATGTGGCAATGAATGATGCGGTCGGCGAGATAATGAAAATAAAACGCGCTCTGTTTTAAGCTCTCTAATTAGAAGAAGAAAGGAGATGGGGTCGGGCGGGTTGCGAAATTTTTCGGGGATCAGTGACGGACCGTGAAAATTTCACAATGTATATAGATGCTGTTTTTTAGCATGATGTTTAAGTAATAAATAAATAACGCTCGTCGAGAATGACTCGCCTTACCCTCGACTGAAAAGATCAATGGAAGATATAACACGTTATTATTGTATTTTTCTTGATTTTGCGCAAGAGAAAATCCTTTTCAATTGGAACGAAACACGTTGAAGATATAATGAGCAACTACATGAAAGAAGAGAAATAAACTGTATTAGCTTTGACTACTCTTTAAACAAGGAAATAATGAGTATAAACGAGTACCAATAAGAAAAGTGAAACAAAAGAAAATTTGCACTTATATTACGAACAATAAACGAATAGAAAAAAGTTTCAATTATGCAGAAAATTTTCACAATTGCAAGATATGCAAATAAATCAGATGCGAAAAGTGGGTGACGATTGATCGAGATTTTGTGTGTCCTTTAATATTTGTCAAAACCATTCTGAAAAACGCATCTGTGTTTCCATGTAGAGTTTGTCCAGTCTTCGCATCTCGGCCACTTGAGATTTGCTGGGTTTGATCACTAAGACTTTGTAGTCAAAATGTCGTAAAATAATTAAATCGTCCAGACGCTTCACTCTTGATAATGGTACATAGACTGCAGCTATGTCATCTGTATCTTTTGGTAACTTCAGATCGATGACTACTTTGCTTAAAGTTTGTCATTGGCTTTTGTGTGTTGTGATAGAATATACGGGTACAAGAGGTAACGCGCGTCGTTTAATCGATAGCATTGCCTTTCTGTTCGTTTTTGATTTGTTGTTGACTTTTGGAAGAATATCCGAAATGTCCACCTGAAAGGTTTGTTCCATTATTGGTATTGGAATGAGTTTTGGTTGAAGCTTTTCAAGATTGCATTCAATTTTTGATTTGCTTATTTCGACCAATGCATATATTGGCTTGTGCACATATTGGGTGTTTACTGGAAACGTTTTTGACAGACTATCTGTTGACACTGAGTCAAGATCATAGACTAGTTGTCTAAAGATTCCATTCATGCCGTTAATTAATCGGGGTTCAATAGCAATATTTTGTGTAATGATAATCGGCATTCCAGGAACTGATGGTAACGAACCCGGTAAGTGCTCAGTCTTACTGTCAGATAATTCCAATAATTTTTTTAAGGAGTATCGGCTCTTCAACAGGTTTGCCTTTACAAAAGTCCTGAGCAACACATACCATTGGATTGCAACCTGTTTGTACTGCAGTATGAATTACCGATCTGTGGTTCAATTGTGTTCGTATTTCATTTCTAAATACAAGCATGGGAGTCTAAAATAAAGAAAATATATTTATTTAGAACAGAGAAATATATCTTACTTGATTCCATGGTGGTTCATGAAGAGATAATGCTGACTGTACAACAACACGCTTCAATAATAACTCATAATCTTCATAACTACATTGACCTTGACGAAGCCGTTCAAGTAACTGAAGATATCGTATGCCTTCTGTTCGCATCTGTTGAGTAAGTTTGACCACACAATTCATTTGTAGAATTAAAGAACGTGCAACACGTTGTTGGATTTCTTTTTCCGAAGATAATTTATTGAATTTCTTTTTATTTTCCGACGAAAAGTCAGTGTGTAACGGAGCATCGTATACTGGCCGGTACTGTAAATAATCATCAAAGAGTATCACGTTTATACCACCGAATGGAATGTGCGGATCGCCATGTTTAACGGCACAAAGAATTCGATTGAGTTTTCCGAGTAAAGTCAAACCAACCATACTCATTTCATCAATCAAGAGATATTCTACAAGTGTCCATTCTTTTTACAGTTTCAAATCGCCTGGTTTAATAGTTCGTGGCTTTTTTGAATTGCGTTGTTCGCCTTAAAATGAATGGATAGTCATGCCACCAATTTCAGCGGCCGCAATACCAGTAGTTGCTAGCTTTCGCATCTTTTGTATTCTGTTTGTAACACGAAAATATTCAGTCACAGCACGAATAAGTTGTGACTTTCCTGTACCACAACACCCGGATATACACATGATAAGTTGGCCATTGTTATCTCCTATATGGAGGATGAGGGTGTGTATAAGTAAAACTAAATCTATTTGTATTCCTATCTACTCATTTGTTATAAGTGTGATATAGGTATCTATTTATATTCGAATTGATACTAGCCTGTCGGGGGTCGACTTATAATATAAGTCGAATTAGGCATTTTATGATTTATGGATATATTGCAGAAATTTATGATTCTATTCGACATTATGAGCAATCATTAATTATTTTTGGAAAAAATAACAGAGAAAGGTTTAGTCATAATCAAATATCCACATTCTGATGTGATCAATGAAACAATAGAAGAAAAATATTTGCTAACTGATCTTTTTACTATACTCGAAAATTTAGAAGAACTTTATTCAAATGAACATATATATATTAATTGTTATATTGAAAAAGCATTTTTTGAAGAGAAAAAAATATACAAATGCTTTATGTCATTGTAATCAATGAATAAAACTGTTTAAAAATATGAATCACTTGTTATCCTTTATGGAATTAAGGAAACTATTAAACATCTTGAAGGTGTGGCTGTGGATAATAGAAGGAAATCCATCTACACCCTCACCCTCACCCGCCAATCCTCCATGTTCATCTTCAACGTAACAGAAGAAATGTTTAACTCTTGAATGTGTGACGTTCTTGCAACATCAATAATTGTATTTATCAGAGAGCCGTTTTCGCCCCTTTAAATTTAACGTCAAGATAGAAAAAAAAAGAATAGAACGCAAAAGCTATGACTCATTATGTGAGTATATACTATATAACGTCAGAGAAAGTAACTCAAAAGAAGCAAACAAATTTCACCGTTTTCAACTTTCTCTGTTATTGCACAATTTTTGTAATTTATCAGAAATATCTCTTTTTACCTATAAAAGTTCGAACTGTGTTTGGATTAAATCTATCTACAAGACGAGATTTTACATATATATATAAATGAAATTTTCATAGACACATTCACCCGCATAATTACGTCTTTATCTGTAACATTTTTTTTATTTTTAGAAAAATTGCAATCCTAAGATGAAAAGAAAAGTATGTGATGATGAAGAGGTCGAATGCGATACAGAATCCGATGTAAACACTACAAACGATAATACCAATAACAAAAAAATATGTACAAACGAAATAGACGGATTACAGCTTATTACAAATTTCATCGACAAAGAACAGCAAAAGTTACTATGGTCGAAGATATATAAAGAAAATTGGAGTAAAGAAATAACTCGAGATACTTTACATTACGGTCAACGATATGATTATAAAACAAGAACATTAGTAAATGATGTAAAAGAAATACCTGAATGGTTGAATGATATCAAAAAAGAAGTAGAAATACAAGCAAATTTTGAAAGTTCAATTGATCAAATTATAATTAACAGATATAAAAAAGGACAAAGCATCAGTCCACACATAGATCATAAAGTATTATTTGGTCCAACTATTGCAACTCTCTCATTGGGAACTGCAGTAAATATTTTATTTCAACGGAAATCGACGAAAAAAAGTATCACTGCTTTAGAATGTAGTCTGTTAGTGATGAAAAGAGATAGTAGATATCAATGGAAACATTCTTTAAAATTATCTACTGTTGACGAAAGAATTTCTATTACTTTTCGAACAATAAATAAATTTGTTAAAACATGAATTTTTATTATTTTCTTTCTATACTATCATAGTAAATGATCGTTTATTGTTGCTTTCAAGGTGAAGATGTTTTCATTTTACTCATACCCTCACTCACCTTTCGCCTTAAATTCTTATTCCCTCGACTGAAAGGAGGGTCATACAAAAAAATAGTTTGTCTGTCTGTTTGTCTGTGGGAGGGTCAAAGGCCAAGTTTAAAAAACCAATGAATCCATATAATAATCAAAATAATATTGAAAAATATTCATCAATTCCTCCAGCACTTGTAATTGAAAACAATTTCTCAACTCAAAATAGTATCATTGGAGAATTTTCATTGAACAAAGAACAAAGAGCTGCACTCTTAATCATAACAAGTCATCTTGATGGCGATAGCCGATGTCGCACAGGTATAGTTTTTCACTAAAAAAAATAATCATTTATTACATCAAATGATATATTTTAGATGATAATAATGGTCAACTCATTATGTGTATACCTGGCTGTGGTGGAACAGACAAATCACAATTGATTCGTGCTCTTACAAAATATTTTCTTGTCACAAAAAGAATACACATGATGCGGAAACTACGACCTACTGGAATTGCAGCTGCTGAAACC